TAAAGTACTACTCAAGAGAATCCAGGTCAAAAGTGAAAACAAAAAATTCCACCCAGACAATGTTTTTAATAACTGGAGTAGATGTAGGTTGAAAAGGTATTTGGTTGTTTAGTTTATCTTGTGAGATTAACAGTTAAAAATTGATTATTTGATTTGTACTTTTAATTATTTTTCATCAATTGGAATACTTGATTGTCTCTGTGGACATAATCTGGATTGTTTCCATTATCTGTTTTAGTTCTTGATGTAGACCAGGTAGTTGAGGACTTCTTAGATCAGTTGGAGCGTCGAAGACCCAAGAGTTGAGCCGTGCCGAACATTGTTGTGCCGAGCAGGGGTTATGTTGAATAGTACTATGCACTGCGAATATTTTATTCATTATTATTTTTGACTTAATTTTGGACTAATTTTCTTTTTGATTAAGTTTCTTTTTAGATTATTATTATTATGCTATTAGGAATTGTATTCCTTATTAGGAGTAATTTCTATATTCTACTAGAATTAGAATTCTACAAAGATTAGAATTTTAGTACAATAAATAAGGTTGTAAGCCTTAGAATTATACATCTTTTATACAATAATATTGATTTTGTTCTCTTTGAAAGAGTGTTCTTAACTTTGGTGCGCCAGATTTCTTTGGGTATTGACGTTGGTCGTACTTTTACAGTGTTCAACTAAGTTAAGTGGTATCAGAGCAAGGAATTGTCTTGTTCAATGGCACATAATGAGGCAGGTCACACAAACCCTACTAATGAAGGTCATGAGGTGGAAACTTTGTGAAGAGCGTTAGAGAGGCAGCAACAACATGTTGACAGCAAATTTCAGGAACTCTGAGATCTGCTCATGGGGTTGAAGTTCAACAACTCCAACAGGCAACCAATAGTTGACAGGGCTCACATTGAGGGATTTGCTCAAGGCCAACCTATTAACCGACATGGTGATAGGATTCGTGTTAAGGGAATTCCCCAAGGCCAACCTGTTGACTAAGGAATTGGTAGGATCTAAGCAAAGGCCTTTAGCCGGGATCGACTTGCTAATCAACTCGTTCTGAGACAACTTCTATATCAATATGATATCGAGGAGGAGTTTGAGGATGAAAAGGACGAAGATTATGATGCATATCAGCGGAGGAGGCGGCAACATGGTTTTGATGATTATAGGATGAAAGTAGATATTCCCCGATTCAACGGAAATCTATATATCGAGAATTTCTTTGATTGGATTTCTGAGATGGAACGTTTCTTTGGTATGATGGAGGTTCCCAAGGAGAAGCTGGCCAAATTTGGACGCACGCAACACTTAGACATTTGTTGTAAATATATCCGTTAATAAATTACACCTAAACACCCTAAAATTTATAACCATATAATATTTAGACCTCTTAAGTTTAAAATATTACATTTAGACCAAAAATAGCACTTTTGGTCCTTAAAATATTCATTTTTTGTCAATTTTGTCTTTATTATATCAATTTTGTCAATTTAATCTTTAAAATATTCAATTCATGTCATTTTAGTCCCCACATAGATGTACCATTAAATTTTTTACGGAATAATCACGTGTTGGGTACATTATACCGTTCAAATAAATGACACGTGATTACTTCTATTAAAAAATGGTGGCACATTTTAATATTATATATAATTTTTTGTACCAATATAAAATATATATACATGAAACTTGGTGTACAATGTATAATATTGATTCATGTATCCTGGGCATGAATCAATAGTACTTCCATGCATAAATAATATTTATGAGATGAATCTATAATGCATATACATGAACTTGATGCATACATGTATCTCTTATTAACTTCTGTACATGAACCATATTTATTAGATGCATGTATATGTTCATGAAGTTTATCCATGCACATTCATATATGACTTATATGTATGAATTAACTATTAATACATCCATGTACTTTGTGAATATATTAGTGATAATTTGTGCCTGAATGTACGATAAAATATAAAATTTGAGTGCTCAAAAAATCAATTCCACTATATTAAATTTTTTCAACATATGTATACTATCGTATATAAATAATATTTGAAATAATCAAATATTAAATAATTAAACATATGATAAAAATGAGTGATGTGATGTTTTTAGGAAAAAAATATATAAATAATTAAACATGTGATAGAAATGAGTGATGTGATATTTTTATGGGAGAAAATATGTAGGGGATAATGGGGTCAAGTTACAACAAAAGGAAGTTAGGATCAATCTTAACACTCAATTCCAATAATCCCATTTTATTATAAATCTCATTTTTATATGTAACGATGGATCACTACTAATACATTATATGATTACTGCAACGAAATATGACTGAATTACAAGTCCAAAGGAAGAGCATAGTACAATCCTTAAAGCGAAGGATAAAAAGAGTACAAGAGAATCCCCAACGAGAGTTGGTTATAGTTGGTCATATTTAGAGTCTAAACACTAAAGATTATAATAGAAAGTTTAACCTAGAAGTGTCATTGACCTAGTTATTTTGATGTTTGGGCTATGGTTTTCGTAGGCAATCAAGGCGCGAATCCGTAGCTTGATTTGTGCATTCAATTCTTTTATGAAATCGGGATCTTCTATTGCAATATCCTCATTGTCACTAAAAAGTTTTCCTTGTTTAGATTTGCATGGACCTTAAGGAATGATTGCACCAAAACCGTTTGCACTTGGAGTTTTGAGTACTGAAGAAAATCAGTTTCAGAACCATGTGCTTGAATTCCTCTGTTTTGAGTAAAAAAAATCATGAAAAGTTTGACAATCCAACTAATTCACCAGAGCAGCACCATCAACTACATAAATATTTTTAATTTTTCATTAATTACAAACAACTTATGCTTAAAGTACTGCTCAAGAGGATCCAAGTAGAAAGTGAAAACAACAATTGCCACCTGGAGAATGGTGTCAATAACTGGAGTAAATGTAGAGTGAAATGCTAATGGTTGTTTAGTTTATCTTGTGACTAACTATTTTTCATCAATCGGAATACTTGATTGTGGCTGTGGACATAATTTGGATTACACTCCAATTATTGTCCCCATAAGGAAAGCCTTGTTGCCATTATCCGTTTTATTTCTTTTCCAAAAATGGTGAAGTAATGTCTATAACTAGTTCTATATTCTGATGTAGATGAGCAGGAAGAAACTTACATTTAATAGAACTTTGTCTACAATTTCTATATAACAATCCATCATACATCATTAACATGTCCATAATATATGTTCAAAAGCACAAAAGGAAAGAAGCAACAATCAATCTGTCACCGAAGTGATAAATCTGAAAGTGTGACTTCATGAACAGAACATATTTGATCAGCTGTTGGAGTTTAGGTGGATCGTAATACAACTCGTCCAACAGAAAATGCTGGTTGTGTTGGCCGAGGGAGCGATATGGTGTCGCTAACCAATGTAGCAACTACAAATGACATGGTGGGTCTAATTGCTGGATCTTCCTGGACACATAATTATCCGATGTGGATGCATTTTAGCACTTCAACAAGCACACTAGACTCTGCTAGTAATGGGTCCATCAACTCCAACCCTTGGCCTTCAGACCATAATTCCCATGCTTGTGATATTGTAAAAAATACTAAGTTGAATTAGTATTGTCACCACTGGTTTCTGTTTTTTTCTATTTTTTTGTAAAAAAAAAAAGAGTTGAGGAGATAAAAAAAGGAGACATACGTAAGTAATGAGGCTTTGACCATTTTGGTAGAGAAAGCGATTATTCTTCTTCCCACTAACTATCTCAAGGAGTAGAACTCCAAAACTGAAAATGTCTAATTTAATAGAGAATAGTCCATCCATAGCATGCTCAGAGGCCATGTATCCACTGTTTTGAATCGGACATGGTGAAAGAAGATTAGATTCACTAATGTCACTCCTACTCTCAAAACAACATTAATAGTATCTTTTTGCCTTTACAAGAAACTATAATAACTTGAACAAGAGCATTTGTAGACTATCATGTGCTACCCTATATTAGATTAAAAAAGAGAGAAGGAGATTTCTAAGATAAAGATCTTGGCAAGAGGCCAACCAGGAAATCAAATAAGTGCAAAAATAACAACCAAAGGAAGAGAGCTTACTACGTCCCAACAACTCTATTTGTGTTGTCTTCAATTTGATTTCCACCAAAAATCTTTGCCATTCCAAAGTCTGAAATCTTTGGATTCATCCCATGATCCAGCAAAATATTGCTAGCTTTGAGGTCCCTGTGAATGATTCTTAAGCGAGAATCCTTGTGCAGATACAAAATTCCCCTGAGCAATTCCTATTACAATGTTAAGGCGTTTTTTCCAATCTAGTACGAGACCCTTAGTTGAATCTGCAAGCAAAGAAACATTGTTCAAACCAAGTACTATGTTTGTCATAATTAGCAAGCGTTTAAGGTTCAAGGATCAAACCAAAGAGGAAGACATCTAAGCTTTTGTTGGGCATGAATTCGTAGATGAGTAGTAATTCATTTCCCTCTAAGCAGCAACCTAATAGCCTCACAAGGTTTCTATGTTGTTTGTCTAGCAATTAAAGTAACTTCATTCTTGAACTCTTGAAGCCCTTGACCAGAAGTTCTTGAGAGTCTCTTAACTGCAATTTCTTTTCCATCTGCTAGAGTTCCTGGAACAGATTTCAAAGCAGCACAATTAGAAAGAAAAAACAGCGGATATTAAACCTATGTATTTGACATGGTGTTGAAGGAGATATCGTACCAAAGTTGCAACTAAATCGGGTCTGGTTACAATTTTTTTAGGTCATGTTACAATTAAACTGGTCAATTTTACAAAAAGAAGAGATGATCGAGTTCAAACAATCATCCTTTTTAGTTTGACCTCCCCAGATTGAATCGTAATGTCAACTATATTTTGTAGCAATTCAGGTATGGCACCAATAAAACTCTTGGTGCTGCAATCCAACCTTTAAAATCATAATCCAATCACTTAACCACCATATCAATGTATTTATTGTCTGCATTATAATTACCTTGTAAACTGGACCAAATCCACTTTCCCCGAGCTTATTATCTTCAGAAAAATGTTGTGTAGCTGCCTTTATGACATCTAACCTTATCAAAGGAAAGTCTTGAGATTTCTCTCCCTTTTCTCCAATCAAATCCTCATTTGAGTATTCATTTGACAGGTTTTCTCCCGCCAAGTGAATTAATTGAACCTCTTGGCTATGTTCTTGCTCCTCTACAAGGCACATAGGGTTTAGTTGAAATAGCAATTGGAGTAGAATTGTATTGAACTACAAGAAGATCATTCTATACCTTGCTCTCTTCTTTTACTTCTCATCATATAGGAATAGTACATAAGGCATCCAAGTAGTGCTACCACAAACACTCCTCATACACTGGCTCCAATATTAATTGATGTAGGTTCTATTCTTTTCCTTCCTGCACAAAGCATCATGTTAGTGATATTACTATTGCCTCATTCATGATAATTTCGACTAACAGTTTCCCTAATTATAAAAACAACGATTCTAAGGGTAATGCCTCTTTTGCAGCAAGGTGCAGTTAGGCCATTTTATTATTTGATTAGTTCCATGCCAATTTTTTTATTAATTTTCTTTTAATAGTTTATTTTTAGACAACACGATCAAAGAGATTGTACAAAATCATTTTTATATTGTTGCATAGTCTGGTTGAGATTTTTTTTTGGAAGAGCAAAAACTTTTTTGGGTTAGTATATTTTATCATTTGCATTTATTTGTATATTGTGGAGTTATGAGCCACTAACTTATCAAAAAAGAATTAGAGACAGTGTTTGGACCTAAAATACAAGATCATAAGAATATTTGATGCACTGATACATGGTGAATTGGAATACATTCAAGAAATGTCACATGGTGAGAGATAATCAGTCACAACCTTATTCGAGAATGAGATAATTGTCTAGGAGCTATTAGTCAGATAACTGTCAACGGAGACAGAACCGTGGATGATCGGGACTATAAAAGGCAAAGAATGAAGAAGCTAAAGGATACATCCAACCCCCCCCCCCCCCCCACCCCCCGGCAAGACCCATGATTTGAGCATTTTTACGAGTAGTATTAAGTTAGTATTTAGGAAATAGTTTAGTTTTTCTGTAACTGAAATCTCTTCGACTTGATTAATAAATGAATTTTCTTTTATTAGTTCATTGTTTTGTGTATTTATCACTTTAAAATTCACCCAAAGAAGTCCTGAAACAAGGTAATTGAGTTCATCACAAGTAATTGCCTGAAAACTGTTTGTCGATTGAGTCATCTTCATTGATAACAACAGTTTTTTATTTGACGCAACAAACAATTATACAATTATTTGTTTAAAATGAGAGAAAATGTATTACACAAAAAATGTGTTGTGTTTGTTCAATATATACGAGTGGGGACATTCATATTTATTTTTCTCGATAGTGAGATGAATATCTATTAAAGTCTTCCCCACGAGTCAGTGCAGGCAACTACCCCTACACATTAAAGGGTAGCTTTGCCCTAAGTCTAGTGCACGTTGGACAGCAATGAACATACACGAGTTATTGAGTTAAATTGGTGTCGCATGGAATCTGTTATTATTTTTGCCCCTAGAATGATGGAAAAAAATTTGGAAAATACTGTTTGAACTTAATTTAATACAATTATTAGATTAAAAACAGATGACATTAAAATTTATAACTAACCCAATAATCGTATAAAATTAGGTCCTGATTAGGTCCCAATGGGATCTATATCCTAGACTTTACTTCACTGCCCTTGAGAGTAATTGGATTGATTGGGTCTGGGGGTGATGGATTGACTTTTCCCGTGTACTGTCAATTCATGAAACCTGGCACGGAGGAGTAAATTGACTATTTTGCCTCTGAACAAATGGAGCAATTCTGGACCCAAAGACATCGTTTGATGTTAGTTGTTTCTTGGTTAAGACACAACACCCTATACCAATGAGTAATACTCTTGAAAATTAAAAAATTAATTTAATTTATTGATTTAATAAAATAATTTTATTGAAATTGTTAAATTAATATCAAGTTCTAAGATTTAATAGGGTCCACAATCAATTCAAAAACTATAATTAATTGAGTCCCAGTAATGTTGCTTCATATAAATTGATTTTATGCAAACAATCATTGTCGTTTGGACAAAAAAAAAAAAAAAAACTATGTTGGCTTCGAGTAAAATAAAACAAGAAATCCAATTATGGGTTCCACAACTTAAAACTAATAACCATAATGGAATGTATGTGTAATGTGTAATGGGTTCCACGACTTTGACAAATCTCTAAATCGAGGCTTCGTGGAAGAGTGGTGGTGTGTGGGTTGAGAAAAAAAAGATCAACATTGATGGCTAGACTATCCTTCATAATTATGCCAGCGATTCATGAACCACATGTCCTTTTTTGAATTACACTTCCTCCTCCTATGGTTATATCTTTTTGCAGTTTACTTGCCTCGCATTCAAAAATAAATATTTCATGAACCAAATGGCAAAATTACAATTTCCCTCTACAGTAACTGGCAGTGTGACTTATTAGCCTTCTTTGAGACTTCGTATATAGAAAATGCACTTTCAAAATACACAAATACACTTTTGATTCTTGAAAATTAAAAAAAAAAAAACCCCATCTCTTCTTCTTCTTCTTGCACAACATTTCTAATGCATTGTTTAGTCATTTAATCCAGATGAATTGATGAGTCATCCCATGTATAATGTACTTGGTTAGAATTATCTTACCTGGCGGTGTTTAAATTTTTGTTTACTCGACTTATTCCAACCCTACTCGATTGATCGGCTTCCTCAAAAAATATGCTGGCTAATAGAAGACTTTTTAATATTTTCCAAAAAATCGAGTAAAAATGTGAAATACGTACAAAAATTCCATTTTCATACTTAACCCGCATAAATATTTATATTTTTAAAAATATATATATTATGAGTCACATATAAATCGAATACCTTGCATTTGATCCTAACCCTACAAAAGTTGCAAATCATCCACAAAAATTATAAAAAATTTTGTTGTAAAATGACTCATAAAAATTATAAACACATCACTTAAAGTTATAAAATTTGAAGGTAGAGTAGCAAAATTTACTACATTAATATCTTTTTTAATCTGAGTGAGGGTATAATATGAGTCCCGAGAATGTAAACATTTTAAGGTGTAAATCAAAAGTTATAATCTTTTAAAATACGAAATATCATTCACCCCTTTGATAAAACAACTTAAATCGTCGTTTGATTAGAAGAAGGGAGACTAAAGTAATAGACTTGATGAAATAAGGATTAAATAAACACAAATTTAGAAAATTTTACCCAACGGAGAATATGGCAACTCTTTAGTTGATTGTTAACATTCTTGACTTACTAACCAGTATTTCACCTGCTTTGTCTCAATATTCTTCGATGAGTCCAACATTTCACCTGCTTTGTCTCAATATTCTTAGTAGTTTCTGCATATTAGGTGGATCTCTTTTTTAAGTTTGAATTTTTGTTTTTACTACACATGTGACTGCCTGAATTATGTGATTCACTGTTATCTTAACTACCTTAATAAATCACTCATGTGATATGCAGAAGTTTTCTATTAAATTTAACTGCGTATTTGGCTGGAAGAGTCACATTGAATCAGATTGTATGGCTGATAGGCTAAATCAAGAGAAAAACATGAATCATAAGGTAATTTTTAATTTAAACTTCATTTTTTTTACAAGACGTCGGTTTATATTGGAGCACTTTATGCTACAAACAACCTTATAAAAGATGCCGTATTTACAAACACTTTCTCCTACATTCTTATGGGTTTTTTTAAGTAGTTTCTGCATATTGGATAGATAAGTTGGCACTCAATATAGTTTCATTATAAACCTTTTCGGTTAAAGGCTGTTTTTTTACCAGCAATTGCAAGAACACTGGTTAATAAACGCCAGCAAAAGCCTACTTTCTTGTATGGGGAAGTCTTCTTGTTACTGTCTTTTTAAGTTCTTTTCCAAAAGTGTGAATGAATGTTTGTTACTAGTTCTTTATTTTGACAGAAATGATCAAAAAGAGATTTAACGTTTTGCAATGTAAGTGGTGAGACGACACAACATACGTGGAAAGGACATAATTTCAAAGATAGTGTATTACAATGTATGATATGTTATATTAACATCCATAAAATTTTTGAAAGCACATAAGGAAAAATCAATCAACTTTTGAAAAAACACAAGAAACAATCAATCGATTAGTCACCGAGGTGATAAATCTGAATGAGTGACCTCATTAACAGAACATATTTGATTAGCTGTTGGAATTTTGGTTGATGGCAATACAATTCGTCCAATGGAAAATGCTGGTCGTGTAGGTCGAGGGAGCGATACCGTGTCGCTTACCAATGTAGCAACTACAAATGACATGGTGGGTCTATTTGCTGGATCTTCTTGGACACATAATAATCCGATGTGGATGCATTTTAGCACTTCATCCAGCACACTAGACTCTGTTAATGGGTCCATCAACTCCAACCCTTGTCCTTCAGACCATAATTCCCATGCCTGTGATATTGTAAAAAATACAAAGTTGAATTAGTATTGTCACCACTGATTTCTGTTTTTTCTATATTTTTTTTAAAAAAAAAAAGTGTTGAGGAGATCAAAAAAGGAGACATACATAAGTAATGAGGCTTTGGCCATTTTGGGAGAGAAAGCGATTATTCTTTTTCCCACTAACTATCTCAAGCAGTAGAACTCCAAAACTGAAAACGTCTGATTTAATAGAGAATAATCCTTCCATAGCATACTCCGGAGCCATATATCCACTGTTTTGAATCAAATATGGTGAAAGAAGAGAAGATTCACTGATGTCACTTCTACTTTGAAAACCACATTAATAGCACCTTTTTGCCTTTACAAGAAACTACAATAACTTGAACAAGAGCATTTGTAGACTACCATGCGCAACCCTATTTTAGCTTAAAAAAGCGAGAAGGAGATTTCTAAGATAGAGATCTTGGCAAGAGGCCAATCAGGCAATCACGTAAGTGCAAAAATAATAACCAAAGGAAGAGAGCTTACTATGTCCCAACAACTCTATTTGTGTTGTCTTCAATTTGATTTCCACCAAAAATCCTTGCCATTCCAAAGTCTGAGATCTTTGGATTCATCTCATGATCTAACAAAACATTGCTAGCTTTAAGGTCCCTGTGAATGATTCTTAGGCGAGAATCCTCGTG